GTCTAGATGTTTTTGTGATAATTTGTGACAAACTGAAATTTCAGTTTGAGTAATTTTTAGTAACTCTTTTAATGGTGCTGAATTTATTCTAGAACCGTCAGACAGAATAAATCCGGTATCTAACATCCAGTTTCGAATGAGTTTAAGAAGGTGTGGAGCATCAGCTAAGAAATAGATTTTCTCTTTTGTAATAGGATGAAGAAAAAATGTTTTATCTATAGTTATATCCAACTTTTTCCATAATCCTACGTTACTACCACCACAATCTGATACACAAGCTACCACAGTATATGCATTTTCATACAAAATGGATATAGCTTCATTCAGGATTTCTGGCGTAACTTGTTGATCGAAGTTCACATATATTGGTTGCTTCCAGTTTTTAAAAATGCCTCTCACCATGATAACTTGCATTTGGCTGTGTGGTCCTATGACTTGATTATTTTTTTTGTCGTATTCATAAGCTGATAATATTTTCATTTCGTCAAATTGTATAACACATAATTTTTCAATATCATTTAAATTTAAAGCCGCTATTTTCATTATTCTTATAACATCATTTAGAATACCTTGACGAAAACTTAATCTAGATGCCCATTTCACTAAAGTTGAAACATGTGGTAGTGGATACTTCAACGTGTTTCTAAGATAAATGTAGCGTCTTTTACTAAGATATCTTAACGTAAAAGCTCTTGAAATGTCTTCTGTTCCCCAAACAACTTTTTTTTTCTTTTAGTTATTAATTGTAACTGAGTGTCACTAAATACTGTGTTTAAAGATTCTTTTAGGCATTGAGTTTGTAAAACACACTCTCCAAATTGTTGGGAAAGTGTACTGATATTTTTGTTTAGTTTAAGTACACGGTGTTTTTGAACTCTTTTGAATTGTAATAAATGTTTATACTTTGTTTTTAATTTTTCGTGCTCGTTGAGTAATTTTTGGTACTTTCTTCAATAGATTCTTCGATAAAAGCTGGAGACCGCCCATGTAATTTGTCTTGATATTCTTGTGTTGTATCTTCATCACCTTGTGCATTATCTTCAGTTGGATGTATTAAGTTTTTAACAATAGTTGCATAATGACGTTTATTAGCACGTACTTGTCTGGATGTTAAGTCAGTTGATATATTTGATAAATAATTATCTTTCAAGTTCTGTGTTGGAACAGCTAAAAAAATTATAAAATTATTAGGTATACCCAGGTTAATAATTTTAAATTAATAATAATGTAGTTAATTAGGTACCTGATGTTTTCAATTTTTTTTTTGTTTTGATGTTCATTAATTGACTTCTTAAATCTACTTCAAATTGATCTTCTAAAAAATGAACACTTACAATTGTGCTGGTCTTAGGATTCCATTCATCTTTTCTCCGGCAAGCATTTATCCAAGCATTACATAATTTTGGATCTTTTGGAAATGTATGGTATGAAATATTTAAATTGTTTTTCTTCGTTGCTTGTAAACTATTTCGGCATATTGCGACAGCACATCTAGTTCCAGGCATCTATTTAAAATTATTGGTATTTAATAAATTGTTACTATTTAGGTGTATTCAGTATTAATGTCGATTTACATTAGGCCACGAACACAAACGAACATGGACCAATCTGGCGGTAACATCAAATAAAATGCTAATCAGTTTGATCGACATACTATACTATGCAACGCCACCTAAAGTAGGTCACAGGGTTAAAATACCTACCGAATTCGTGGCCTAATGTAAAATTATAAACGTACCTTAATTCTTAAAGTGTGAAATATGAATGTGAATACTGAATTAGTGAATTGTGAGTTGTTTCAATATTTCAATATTTGTGTTTAGCGTTTACCGTTTAGCGAGTAGCGACTGATAAAGACAGCAGTACGACGTATGACAATATGCACCGTCCGTCTAGGTCTATTCTGACGTCACGGAACTTGAAACCACGCCCCCTACACAGTGCATGCTTCGACCGTATATCTATTAACCGTGGCCAGCGGCCTCTATTTCTGTGGTTCCATGGCGGTGGGTCCCGATGAGAATTATGATTGAACGTTTCTCTCTTTTTGATAGTTGCTGTTGATTGCTGATGTTCGTGTAAGGACATAACTTAACGTATGGAAGGCGGTGATCATGAATATGTTTCTCCCGAACTTCTACCTTGCTTCTTTCGGGGTGGAAACTCAATTTTCCGAGCGGGGGGCGTACCGGTTTTCTAGCCGGTGCACGGCAGCGCTATCTGTTTCGCGGCGGTTACTGCATTCATTTGGGTGATGGGACACCACTAGAGTGCACCATGTGTTTGGTGACTCGGTTTTGTTCCATTACAATACCCAGTTAGTAGGTAGCACAAGTAAAACCCCAAGTCCACAAGTAGGAAAAGGAGTAGTCACACGTAGCAAAGTTACAGATAGTTTTGAACATCAGTCGTTAGATTCTATATCTAAACCACGCATTAAAAAAATGGCAGTAATCATAAAATTAGAAGACTCTTTCAAATTAATTCCAATATGCACAGGGATAGACGATATCTACCAATTCATAAATGCATGTGATATGGCAGTAGGTTTAGTCGACACAAACAGTGCACCAATATTAGTAAAATATATTACTACACGATTAACGGGTAGAGCATTAGAAATGGTTAAATATAAAAACGTAACAAAATGGCAATTTATAAAAGCGTATTTAACAGATGCATTCGAAGTGACAACCAATTCATCGTCGTTACAACTTCAATTAAATTAGATTAGAATGAATCACAATGAGGATGTAAACGATTATTGCCATAGAGTAGAGAAACTATATTATCAGTTATGTACCGTAAGCACATTAAACAAAGATTCTGCAGAAGCAAAAATTATACATGAAACATTAAGGGACCAAACTCTAGCAATATTTATTAAAGGATTAGTAGAACCGATTAGAACGATAGTAAAATCTCGTAATGCTAAAACTCTGGAGATCGCGAAACAAATCGCTATGTCAGAACAGGTAGAACTAAGATTAGAACAGGAAAATAGGAACCATTATTCGAGTAGTTATTCACAAAACAATAATCAACGTAGATCAAATTATGAAAATAGGAACAACAGGAACGTTAGACCAAGTAACTTTGTAAGGCCGAATAATTTTGCACGAAATAATTATCCGCGAGCAAACAACTTCTCTCAACCAATTAATAGACCACCAATAAAATGTTATAACTGCAATGGAAATCATTTTGCAGCACAATGTAGAAATAATTCGAGACCTAACTACGCGAGCAACGGAAATAACAACCGTCCACCTAATAGAAATAATTTTACGCAACCGCCGACAAATTATAATACACAAACAGTTACGTGTTCATATTGCAATAAAAACGGTCATAATGTAGATTCATGTTATAAAAAGAGAAACGATGAAAGTAGAAATAATTCGGGAAACGCCAATGTATCGAACGAGGTACGCGGTACTCGCACGATAAACCAGATTATCGCGGAACAACCGACGAACGAATATTTCACATATTCGCAAAACTAGAAAATAATCATATAACATTTAATTCTTATGCCGCAAAAACAAATCAATTACATTTAATGATAGATACAGGTAGTCAGGTAAACATTCTCAAAATAAATTGCTTACGCGAAGAACTAGAAGTAGACGAAAAATAAATCTGCGCAGTATAAATGTTTTACAAAAACCATAGGGAAAATATCAATATTAATTAAATTAATTAGCGAAAACATTAAAACAGAATTTCATATCGTGAGTGCACGATTCCCAATACCCAAGGACGGAATATTAGGAAACGAGTTCTTGTCGAAAAATAACGCAATAGTCGATGTAGCAAACAACAAATTAATTATTCAAACGACCGCGCATGCGCTAACAAATTTCAAAGAGACCGACAAAACCAGTTTTATTAAATTAAATCCGCGGACTGAAACTATTGTAGGAATACAGATAGCTGACCCGCTAATAGAAAGCAAGGAAATATTTATACATAAACAAGAACTAGTAAAAGACGTATATTGCAGTAGTACAGTGTCTATCGTGAATAACGGTAGTGCAATAGTTAGCATGTTGAATATATCGGAAGAAACGAAAAATATATCTGAAATTGATTTAAATAAAATACTCTTTGATACCGAATACGAAATATATAATGTAGAATCGACAAATGATCATAATGAACGAATAGAACGTTTGAAACAAATAATAATAACTGACCACATGGACGAAATTGAAAAACAATCTATTTACGAAATATGTGAACGATATAATAGTATATTTCATTTGGAAGGGGATGTTCTAACATTTACCAATGTCGGCACACATTCTATTAAGTTAAAAAAGGATCAACCACCTATCTATCGTAGACCTTATAGATTACCACACGCACAACAAGAGGAAATAAATTTACAAATTCAAAAAATGGAAGAAAATGGAATTATCGAGAAATCGAGAAGTCCATGGAATTCCCCACTATTATTAGTACAAAAGAAAATGGATAATTCAGGCAAACAAAAGTTTAGAGTAGTAGTAGACTTTAGGGCACTTAACTTCGCCAAAATAGCGAAACAATTAACCGCGAATTGATAATAGCGAAAATAAAAATAGCGATTTTTTAAAAAAGCGATTATGCATAATAGCGAAACTGCAGATTTTTATAATTTCTTTTTCAAATACTATAAAATATATAATAAAACTAAAACTTTTACTAAAACTTAAATACTTGATAAAACTTATTTTTACCTGTAATTTCTGGCGCAATTAATACATACCCACTACCTAACCACGGACGTATCGGGTTATCGTCAATGTGCTATCTTAGTTACTATTATGACTATTTTGAAATTGGAAATATACCGATATAAGATTGTCAATCGTATTATATTTGAGCTGACACAATTTAATACAGTTGTATAGTTCGATAGTGCGTAAACGTGTGTAGCTTGTACTATTTAACTTAATATTTTCGTTCGTTAAAAAAATAGTGTGCAGTGAAAAAATATATTAATATTATTTTCAATGGAATTTGTAAAAAGTAATAAAAATAAGGATTTATTATTGTATAGTGGCTTTTTGCATCGTGAAGATAGAAAACAAAATAACACAATATATTGGCGTTGCGTTGAAAGTTCATGTAAAGGTAGAATTATTACGATAAACGGAGAAATTAAAAGTCAACCTAAGGATAACTCACATAATCATGTTCCCGATCCATGTAAAATCCAACGCAAAATGGCTGTGAATAAGATAAAAGAAGCGGCTGTTCATACACAAAATACTCCACATGATATAATCAGTACTGTTCAAATAGTACCTGGAGTAGCCGGTGAAATGCCATCAGTTCATCATTTAAAACACACTATACGAAGAGTTCGGACACGTAACCAATGCGCACCACCTATTCCGAAGACCGTGAGTGACCTTAAAATTGCTGATGAGTATACTAAAACGATGAAAGGAGAACAATTTTTAATATTTGACAGTGGAGCATCACAAGATCGAATTTTAATATTTTCGACCGAAAATAAATTAAAATTAATGGATCAATCAGCTAATTGGTTAGTCGATGGAACTTTTAAAACGGTACCTTCAATTTTTTATCAGTTATTCACTATTCATGTACTTATTCAACAAGGTGACCAAACAGTTAGTCCTACCATTTATGCATTATTAACCGATAAATCCCAATTAACATATACGCGTTTTCTTAAATATTTATTAGAAATAAAACCATCTTTAAATCCTACATCGGTAATATTGGATTTTGAAAATGCCTCAATCAATGCATTCAAAACTGTTTTTCCACATGCTGAACAACAAGGTTGTTTTTTTCATTTTTCTAAATGTATGTGGCGACAAATTCAAAATGTTGGTCTAGTCGAAAATTATATTAATAATGCTAACTTTGCTCTTCATATTCATATGCTAGCTGCTTTGGCCTATGTTCCACCAGATAACGTTATTAATGCATACGAAGAAATTTTAGAAACACAATTTTATGTTGAAAATGAAGACCTGGTAATGCCATTCTTGGATTATTTCGAGGATAACTGGGTAGGAAAAATAACAGGAAGACGAAAAACTCGACGACAGCCAAGACATCCTATTCATATTTGGAATTGTCACTATTCAGCCAAAAATGGTCTTCCAACAACAAACAACGCTGTAGAAGGATGGCACAGAGGATTTACATCTGTTATTGGTTCGTATTATTTTATTAATAATTAGTATCTTTAGTAATAGAATAAATATTCTTTAGGAGCAAGCCACCCTAATATAATATGGAAATTCATAGATGGAATTAAGAAAGTTCAAAATATAGAAGAATTAAAACGAGAGCAATATATAGCTGGAGAACAACCACGGAAAAAAAAAAGTACAAGGACTGTAATAAAAGAATTCATGCATTAGTTACAAATTATAATACTAATGAGAATAAGAACTTCATAAAAGGTGTAGCATATAATTTGTCACTGAATGCCTAGATATAATTATATTTAAATTGAATATAATTACCTATTTTATTTAAAATTATTATTATTAATACTATAAATACTTATTATTAGAACTTAACGATATTATAATTATAATGAATGTAATTTAATCTCATTTATAAACTATTTTTATCTATTTTTTATTGTAATAAATATATTTGATTTTCGCTATTATGTATTTTCGCTTTTTTTTACAATTCGCTATTTTTATTTTCACTATTATCAATTCGCGATTTTTACATTCGCGGTAATTGTTTCGCTATTTTGGCCGGATACCGTATATCTAGGACACGTTATTACGAAAGACGGAATAAAACCCGACGAACGTAAATTAAAAGCAGTAGTAGAATTTCCAATACCAACAACTGTGAAAAACATTAAATCATTTTTAGGATTAAGTGGCTATTATAGAAAATTAATAAATTCATATAGTGCAATAGCAAAACCATTAACCAATTTATTAAAGAAAGACACTAGTTTTGTATGGAGTAACGAATGTCAAAAGTCATTCGATACCTTGAAGGCAGCGTTATGCTCAGAACCAGTTCTAAAATATCCGGATTTCACAAAGACCTCCTTATTAACTACAGACGCGAGTAATAAAGCACTCGGGGCTATTTTATCTCAAGGAGAAATAGGTAAAGATTTGCCAATATGTTATGCGTCACGCACATTAAATAGAAGCGAAAGCAACTATTCAACAACAGAAGTAGAATGTCTTGCAATAATATTCGGAGTAAAACAGTTTCGACCATATTTATACGGTCGGAAGTTTAAAATACTTAGTAACCATCGTCCATTAACGTGGCTCTTTAATTTGAAAAATCCATTATCAAAGTTAGCTAGATGGAGAATACAATTAGAGGAGTACGATTACGAAATACGTTACAAACCCGGAGTTTTAAATTCAAATGTAGATGCACTCACACGCATGTACTCTATACAGGAAATAAAAAATGAATCATATGAAAAATTTCTCGAAAAATTAGAAACACAAATTATCACAAATAGTAATGTAAAAGAAACTATAGGCACAGTAATAGATTCACCAAAAGAATATAATATAGTGTCAGAAATTGCCAAGCAATATAATTTTAGAACAGGAACAAATTATCAATTAAAAAAACAATTTGGAAACGGTATAATATTACCGACTAGTAAAGTAATAGGAGACACACCATATTTTAAACATGAAAACCGGTTTATAATATTCTTAGTAACGAAAAACAAAGAACGCCAGAGGGCAACTTACGAAAATATATATATATCGTTAATAAATTTAAAATTATTTTGTAAGGAGAATAAATTGAATAAATTAGCCATGGGCAAGCTAGGCGATCACGATGATTTAGAATGGGAAAAAATAAGGTCAATGTTGCGATACATATTTCGCGAAACAAATATAGAAATAATTATATGTGCAAATGTAGAATATAGTGAAGAAGAAAAAGCAGTCATTTTATCACAATTTCACGACTCAAAACTAGGCGGACATTTAGGTGTGAATAAAACTACTAAACGTATAAAACAACAATTTTTATGGAGGGGAATGAAAGAAGATGTTAAAAAATATATAAGGAATTGTACGTCATGTCAGGTTAATAAGGTATCAAATCGACACATAAAACAACCAATGGCTATTACATCCACTTCGTCTAAACCATTCGAAAAAATATTTATGGATATAGTAGGGCCCTTGCCGATTACACTGTCCAATAATGTATACATTTTAACGATGGAGGACGATTTGACACGTTACACTTTAGGAATTCCACTTCCTGACCAGAAGGCAAATACTGTTGCGGAAGCCTTTGTTACACACTTCGTTTGTGTACACGGCATACCAGAAACAATACTCACGGATCAAGGAACTAATTTCCTCTCGAAAACGTTTGCAAATGTTTGTAAAATATTGAAGATAGAAAAGGTTAACACAAGTCCATTCAGACCGCAGGGTAACCCTGTAGAACGCACTCATAGGACCTTAGCCGAGTACTTGCGGCATTATGTAGATAAGAATTTAAATAATTGGGATCATTTACTACCCTTTGCATTCTTTGTATATAATTCAACGGTACATACTTCTACTAATTTTCAACCATACGCATTAGTCTATGGACGTACGTTGGAGGTACCGATTAGATTAAAAGCCGAACCTGAACCACGTTACAATTATGACGATTATATATTCGATCTAAAAGAAAATATGCAAAATTTCGCATAAGATAGCTAGAAATCATTTAATTAAAAATAAAATAAAAAGTAAAGAACGTTATGATAAAAATGAAAATCCACAAAAACTACACGTCAATGATTTAGTATTATTAAAAGATAATAATCATAGAACGAAACTCGACCCAATCTGGCTAGGACCGTACGAGGTCACAGCAGTTATAGGGAACGAGAATGTAGCCATACAGCGAGGCCGCAAGGTCATGACTGTACATAGAAATAACGTAAAAAAATATTATAATGACGCACAAGTCAATTAAAAAAAAATAGCAATAATAAAAAAAAATAATAATAAGTATATAGCAATATTAAGTTAGAATAATTATATTAATTTTAGGAATAGAAACAGAACGTATATTAAAAACTTATTCTCAGAAAATAATTAATAACCCAATGTAATAAAAGAGGATTCAGATAAAGATTAAAAACTAATTTATTAAACAAAAATATATATGATAATTAACATCATTCAGTCTAATAAACAGTTTTTCCTTTAAATTAATTAATCGGAATCATCTTCTTCATCGTCCGATAATAAAATTCCCGATACAATATGGTCCGGTGGAGGGGTAAACCCCTCTGGCCATTCAATCTCCATCGTTATGTCTGGGCCTCGAGCTAATTAATTTAAAAAAAAAATAATAATAATAATGCATTAAATAAAATTCATAAATAAAACATATATATATATATATATATATATATACGCACGATTTCGAATAATTTACGTACGAGTCCGAGTTTCAGCAGGTTTATTTGGATCCATGGTTATTTATATATAATAAATCTAGTCAAAAAAAAAATATAATAAAATAATAACAAAAAATAAATACGATGAAAATAAATTTTAATTTTAGGGACAGACAAAGAAAATTCATTGTGGAACTAGGAATGGCGATCGAACAAGAAATTCATGAAACATATACTTTAGGACCGGAACACACACCGAGGTAGTAGGTAGAGAAAGACAGTTCTGGAACCTCATCCTGCTGGCAATTTCCTATACCCGTCTGCTCATCCCACTACACCGTCTGCTCATCCCACTATACCCGTCTGCTCATCCCACTATACCCGTCTGCTCATCCCACTATACCGTCTGCTCATCCCACTATACCCGTCTGCTCATCCCAATACACCGACTGCTCATCCCTATACATTGACGGCTGCTGAACCCACCATATATCACACACGTTAACGATGTACCCCCGCCACCCCACCACCTATGACCACCGCTCGACATTGCCGCCGCGCGTGGAAAATAATTTAAAAATTTATCCGTGATTCGAAACCGGTTAACTTGCATGATAAGCGACAACCGTACCACTGGGCCGCCTACTCGCATCTGTTTGAGAAGGTATATTCTATCTCATTTAACCGGCGTCCGCTTACGTACGCGAGGTATAATTTCCCCCACCACTATACCATTTACCCCCTCCCGATTAACCTGTAGGGACTTTTCGATGTCTCCCCCACCAATTAATATTTAATTTGTTCGTTTATGAACGCAACTACACAACATAAAATAATTTCCCCCACCACTATACCATACCAAGAGCCGCCGCGAACGCGCGCGCGAGCCCTCCGGTGCGTTATCATAGTGACTTTAACACAAAATAATCTACTGGTATATTTTTGCTCGTTTATGAACACAACTACACAGCATAAATTCAGTCACTCTATATAATCGTTCCAAGTGTTTCGCGTGTGCTTGTCTCATATTCAGTGTTAAAATCATAATTATTTCTCAGTGCGTTTCTGGTCCAATTGAAAATATGGAAAATATTTACAAGAAAACTTACAAATATTCACCACCATCGCCGCCAGCTAATCTGATCGATTGTACTACATTCTTTAATACGTTATATAATAATTACGTGCGTAGTATTAGCGCAGAGCGAACGAGATGTAGGTTAATATAATAGAGCACTATAACACCAACTGCGGACAGTAATGAATAGTGACTATTCATTCACTCAAAAATCCCTACCGCCGCCGCCACCTCCCCACTTCACCACCCAGCCATAGATAGCCCGCTACCGTCACCGCCCCTCCCCTACTTCTCCACCACCACCACCGTCAACAGCCCGATCGCGTACGTGTGCTACTATGCGTTATCATATATAACCGCGAGCAGTTCTGCCCTAAACTGATATCACTTATCACATTACTGTTAACAAATAATAATACGAGTGCACATGTATAACAGGGTATCCGCATATAATTGTGCAACACACTACCTTTATTATATATATACATGTAAATGCTGAACACATTATTTACCTAATCCCCACTACCAAACACATTATACATAACCCCCCACTACATACATGGTTTAACAATTAATACTCTATCGTGTGAATATTCAGTCTCAGTTTTGATTTAACAGCGTCAAGTTGTAAGTCTCAGTATATTGCTTATAAATATGGCAGGACCAATAAGTGAAATGAAACGGGTATACAATTATGTTGCACCTACATCTCCACATGAACTCATGGATTGCTCTAATTTTACAATAGACTTTAAAAATCGCAAATTCTTGAACATCGGATTCGATCCAAAAGATCAGTTCAATATCGTTTTGCAAATAATTACACCGTCACGGTATGTAAAAATTTCATCAGACTTCTTGAAACGAATTTATTCAGTCATGGGCCATGTTTTGTCACACGTTCTCGATCCTGTTGTAAAATATAAAAAAATTATTTTTTTGGAAGATGAAGTCTCTTTGCTTACAAGTATGGTGTATAAAGGAGAGCATG